CTTAGTGTAGGTAGAATATCTATCCAGGACCTTCTGGCTTTCAGAGTTTCTATTGAAAAGTAAGGTTTGATTCTGATAGGTTTGCCTTTATAGGTTACTTGGCCTTTTTCCTTTGCTGCTCCTAATATTTTCTCTTTGTTCTGTATGTTTGGTATTTTGATTATTATGTGGTGAGGAGGCCTTTTTTTTTTTTTGGTTCAGTCTATTTGGGGTTCTGTAGGCTTCTTGTATTTTCATTGGCATGTCTCTCTTAAGGTTGGGAAGGTTTTCTTCTATGATTTTGTTGAATAAGTTTTCTGTGCCTTTGAGTTGGATTTCTTCACCTTCTTCTCTGCCTATTATTCTTAGATTTTGTCTTTTCACACTATCCCATATTTCCTGGATATTTTGTGTTAGGGATTTGTTGGACTTATGATTTTCTTTGGTTGATGAATCTATTTCCGCTAGTGTGTCTTCACCTCCTTAGATTTTCTCTTCCATCTCTTGTATTCTGTTGGTTATGCTTACATCTGTAGTTCCCGATCGTTTATCCAGCTTTTCTATTTCCAGCATTCACTCAGACTGTGCTTTCTTTATTGTCTGTATTTCAGATTTTAGGTCTTGAACTGTTTCTTTGAGAGATTTGTTGATATCTTGTTTTTTTATTTTTTTTTGGTTTGTTTTTTCTTCCATTTCTTTAAGGGATTTTCTCATGTCCTCTTTGAGGTCCTCTATCATTTTCATGAAGATGTTTTTAAGGTCATTCTCTTCTGGCTCATCAGCATTGTGTTTAGTGGGTTTTTCAATTATTACAGTTATTTATTTGTCTGGAGAGTGAACTCAGGTCATCGGAGCTATCTCATCAGCCTGGCACTCTTTTCTTTTCCTTGTTTCTTTTCTTCATTCTTTTTGGCAGTGCTGGGAGTAGAATCCAGGATCTCATACATGCTAAGCAAATCAGGGTGTATAATTTTAATGTAAAAATTTGTTACATTTTTTTTATCATTTTTAAAGTTTTCATACAAAGTGTTATCATATTCCTTCCTGTTCTCCCAGATTGTCCCCACCTACCTTAGTTAAAATTTTCAATCACAGCAAATGTAATTCAGTATTTCTTCCTAAGAAGGTCTGAATTGCTGTAGACCTCTTGTTTGTAGGTACACAAGTCTTATCTTGGAGACAATTAAGGGGTGGGCCCAATAATTATGTTTTTATATAATGAATTAAAATTTGACTTTCATCTGATTTTTGTCAATGAAGTTAAGCAACAATGTTACCAGAAATTTTTATACTTTCCTTTTTTTCTTTTGAAGGAACAAGATAAAAAATTAGAAAATGCTAATAACAAAATACAAGAAAAGCAGGCAATCATTGAAGCCTTGAACAAAAGAAAAATGGAAGAAGACAAGAAAAGTGGTGCTCTGCAGAATCAGTTAGAAACTGCTGATAAATTAGTAGGAGACTTAAAACAACAGCTTACAGAAATGGACCAAGAGAACCAAAGCTTAAAACTGGAGCTAGCCAGTTGTAAAGAAAAAGAGAACCACTATGTTTCAGAAATTAAACAGTTCATGGGGATAGTTGAAGAACTGCAGCAGAGAAATTACAAAGAAAACCATACAGAGACTGGCATAGTGCAGAGAATGGAGAAAGAAACACAGCGGAAATTAGACCACCTCCAAGCGGAGCTAGATGAGATGTATGGGAAACAGATAGTGCACATGAAGGAAGAATTAATAAAGCAACACAAATCTCAGATAGAGGATCTTAAATCTCAGCATAAAGGAGAAATGGAGAATACTTTAAAGTCATATGCATGTACTACAGTTGGTACGTGCAATATGTATAAAGATTATAAAGAACAGTTAGAGTTATCAAATGTGCAGATAAATGAACTGAATAAAAAATTGCAAGATACTCTTTCTGAAAAGAAGAATCTCAGCGAAGAACTCTGTGTAGTTACGAGAGAAAAATGTGTGCTTCAGACTCAGTTTAATGATCTTTTAGAAGAGTTAAACTTTTTAAGAGACCAGATTCATAGAGCAAGGCAGACAATATCTGAACAAGAAATTAAACTAAATGATGCACGCAAGTCCCTCAGCACAGTTGAAGACTTGAAAGCTGAGATTTCTGCAGCGTCTGACTTCCGGAAGGAGCTGGAGTTAAAACATGAATCAGAAATTACAAATTACAAAATAAAACTTGAAATGCTAGAAAAAGAAAAGAACGAGGTACTAAACAGGATGGCAGAGTCCCAAGAAGCAGAGCTGGAGCGATTGAGAACACAGCTTCTCTTCAGTCATGAAGAAGAACTTTCCAAGTTAAAAGAAGATCTGGAAGTTGAACATCGAATAAATATTGAAAAACTTAAAGATCATTTGGGCATTTACCACAAGCATCAGCTAGACGACTTACAAAATGAAATGAGTAAGAAGATGGAAACTATGCAGTGCGAAAAAGACAACTTGATAAGTAAGCAGAATCAGCTAACTTTAGAAATTTCCGAGCTAAGAGATTTACAGCAGTCACGTTTTGATATGAAATCAGAACAAATGACCCTTCAGATTAATGAACTTAAAAAAGAAATTGATATCCTCAGACTTGAAGGAAAAGAAAAGGGTACGCTTGAACAGGAAATTCAAGAGTTACAACTTAAAACTGAACGACTAGAAAAACAACTGCAGCAAAAAGAGGAGGACCTTCAAGAAAAATGTACACAACTTGAAGCAGAGAATAGCATTCTTAAAGATGAGAAGAAAGTCCTCGAAGACCAGTTGAAATCTTACACTCCTAGTGACCAAGAAGAAAGATTAATTGCCTTAGATTCTAGTGCATACTTGTCAAAAGCTTGTAACTGCCAAAAAGAAATCAATACTCTTAGACAGGAAAAGGATGACCTGAAGCAGCAATGTATTCACCTCAACAAGGAGATCGAAAGGCAAAGGAATACATTTTCCTTTGCTGAAAAGAACTTTGAAGTTAATTATCAAGAGTTACAGGAGGAGTATGCTTGCCTTCTGAGGTCAAGAGATGATTTAGAAGACACCCAAACTAAGCAGGCTTTGGAATATGAAAATAAGCTCAAAGCGCTAACCGAAGAGCTCCATTTGCAGAGAGCAAGCTTGATGATACACAAAGAGAAGCCTTCTGACTTTATTGATGCCAAAGCTTTTATAGTGGAACCGTTGGAAGTCAGGGAGGTAGTTGAAAAAGATACTTCAGACATTAACAAAAGTGGGGGAGAAGAGTTGATGTTGCCAAGAACAACTACTGAAGCAGCTGATGGTATAGTTGAACCATGTGAAAAACTCCAGCAAGAGCTTTTTGCCCTCCAAGCCAAGCAGGTATGTCCATGTGCTCATGGAAAATCATAGTGAAAACACACATTTCACACAACAGTAGTTCCCACTTTCATGAAACAGTAATCCATATCCTTACCAGAAAGTGAAGGTGATCCCTTTCATGGTAGTCTCACTTTTGCAAATCAGTTGTCATTCTTACTTAAATATTGTTGCCTTTCTTTCAATTAATCTCTTATTTTTGCTGCTCAGAAAATAAGCTAAGCTAATCATATTTACATGGTATTTTTTTCTTTGTAAAGAGAAGAGTTAAGAGACTTGGTTTAATTTTTACATTATAATCATTTTGATTTAGCATCCAAGATTATTTTGTACGGTTTTTCATACTGATGTTTTCTAGTATGAAATTTCAAGTTCTCAGAATTCCACTACTGTTTAAAAGAAAAAAAAAAAAACTTAAATTTTCTACTGCTTTATATACTAGTCAGTGGTTATACAATTATATTTCTGGGACGTGGAGCTTAAGCCCTAGAGTTTTCTGTGTCTTATACCTGAATGAGCAAAGCATATTAACTGTCAATGTAAGTCAAAAATTTTAAAAATGTATATAATGTATGTTTTAGTTTCTTTTTGTTGCTTCATTAAAACTGAACAGAAGCAGCTGAGTTATGGAAAGTATTATTTGGCTTGTAAGTATTAATTGGCCACAGTTTATCATTAAGGAAGTGAGGGCAGAAAAATCAATCAGGATTAAAGTATAAAACCTCGGAAGAATGTCACTTGCTACCTTACTCATGGACTCATGCTTAGCTGGCTTTCCTTTGTAGCCTGGGACTACCTGCCCACATAATGGTGCTATTCACAGGGGCTCCTACATCAATTGACAGGCAAGGTGATCACCCACAGATGTGCTCACAGTCCAGTCTGAGCTGAGTATAACTTCAGTTGAGACCTTCTCATCTCTTCTCTGTTGACTCTAGACTGTTGTCAAGTTGACAAGTGATGCTTACTAAGACGATGACCAATAATGAATCAATCCTAATTACTTCTGTTTGTTAAATGCTGATACTAGGAGAAACAGGAGAGTTCTGGTAGGGTATCCACAGTATAAAAATGCTGACTAAAGTTTTATGTGTTTCTCTATTAGCGGAGCAGATTTTTATTGAATCTATTCCAGATATGCATACAGTGGTGAACAAGAGATAAGAGTCCTAGTCTCAGGGAGCATGTGTTCTAGAGGGAGTGTAAGTAATAATGAGAAATGTGTATGGTAGTTAGCAATAGTTTTGAGTCTGTGAAGAAAGAAAAAGGCGGGTGCGGCACAGTGATCAGGAAAGGTGTCTTGGAGGAATTAGAATTAGCCTTTGAACTGAGCTCTGTGTGACAGGGAGGGGCTTGCAATGGGGAAATTATAGCAATTGTAAGGATGCAGGTGAGCTTGAGGGCTAGGATATAGGCTTGTGTAGTTGACTTTGAAAAGAGGCGAAAGGGAAAAGCAGGCTTTGAAAAGGAAGAAAGAATGTGTAAAGCTAGAATTTTATTCTACGTAGGAAGCCATGGGAAGTTTTGTCTTTTATTTCTGATGATTTCCAATCACATTTATGATCTTATGTCAAATATAGAAATAATTTACTTTTACAATAACCTGAATAGAAGCAAGAAATCCAATTACTAATTAATATTTAAACATGTGGAATTGTTTTGAAATTGTGGTATATTGTGTGGTAATTACCCCAAAGGTTTTAAATACCATTTTAATTTTTTAAATAGGAGAGGACCTGATTTCCATTTTTAGCTGCCCTGATCTTGATACTATCTCTCGTTAAATTTAAAATAAACATGGTCTTTGTAGGCTTTCTTTTAAACTGAATAAACACACACACACACACACACACACACACACACACACACACGAAGTATAATTTCTGGGTTTTGTTTCATTTTTTTAAGTGTACTTAGCTAGTTTGGCTAGAGGAGAAAGAATAATATCATAGAAAGTCTGACCACTGTTGGCATGTGAAATAGCCAGAGCAGTGGCAGGAATTGATTGTTTCTTATGCTGAGAGACCTTAAAGTGAAGTGTTTGAATTTGAAGAGGCAATGAAGCATAGTAACCCCAGTAGGAACCACTAGTCTGTAGGTCCTAGAGGCCCTGTGTGCTGGACCTGCAGTACTTACAATAAATCTGATGCAAGACAGTAAATTTCTAAAAAGGAAGTAAAGCCCGTTTTTTAAGTGTCAATAGGGAAACAAAAGAGAACTTAACAAGAGGAAGAAGATGAGGCTAACTTTGTCATTTACTGTATGGCATTTTCTACAAGTCCTAACCATTGTAAAGACAAAAAAGATACATGACATCAACGAAGAGAAAGACAGTTAACTGCCATAATTCACAGGTGTAACTTAATAAATTAAGGAAATGAGTTAAAATCCTTAAAGTCAGATAATGTGGAACAAAAAACTTTAATGCCGAAATGTCTGATAGCCTGGGTATGGTGGCGTATACCATAATCTCAGCACTCGGGAGCAGAGGAAGGGGATGGTGAATTCAAGGCCAGACTAAACCACCTAGCAAGACCTCTTCCTAACACAGAAACAAAAAATAGCCCTGCTGAACATGAATGAAGAAGGATGAGTCCTGAATAAATGTAAATTTTCATTTCCGAATGGGAAATATTTAATCTGAAGCATTAGTTTGCTTTATGTCTTTCCAATGCAGTTCATGGTGAAAATATGTTGAAGTTTAATTGGTTTATAGATATCTGTAAGGACAGATGTAGAGGAGGCAAGAATATTTTTAAGCAGACTACATATCACATGACATATAGAGGACAACTTTAGACTTAAGTGCACCAATTTTTTATTCACATGTGTGCCCCACTGAGCATATGTGATGTGTGAATAACCTCAGAAGCCAGAAGAGGGCATCAGAAATCCCCTGAAAATGGAGTTACTGTTGGTTGTGAGGCACCTAAGCTGGAAACTGGGAACTGAACTTGGGTTTCCAGGAAGACAGCCCATGCTCTAAACCACTGAGCTATCTCCCTAGACCTTAAACATTCCAATGTGATAAGCACTGAGAATGAGTTAAGCTATTCAAAAAGATAAAGTAGTATCCAATTGTCCACATTTAAAGGAAGTAGGTAGAAATAAATAGCAAATTTAGAGCAGAAACAAATGGATTCAGATAATCAAAAGGGAAATTTTTGAAGAAGTTTGATCGTTTACCATTTGAAAAGATCAGTAGGTTGCAATTATTAGATCTCTAAGGATATTATCAAGGGTATTATCTAAGGGTATTATCAAGGATATTATCACAAACAAAATGAAGAATGGAAATAAAAACCAAAGTGCAGATTCCACAAGCATTTGAGTACTATAAATAAACTCTATTGATGAAATAGAAGTTACCCAGACTCACTCAAATAGAAATACAAAGCCTTAGTAAGCCAATAAACCATTACAGGATCTGGAACCGTAATCAGTTTTCCTTTTCACCTTTCCAGCTAAAACTGCTGCACCATGACTGTTGTACAAGTGGATGTCACCAACTCTCAGTGGCAAATATAGGTGCTTACTAAAATAGGATCCAAATGAGAATCTGAAAAGCAAGAAAGGAAAGAAAGAGCCCGTGTAAGCTAGTTAGTATCGAGAATTAGATCGGGCAAGAATGGCTCAAGAAAAGAAAATTATAGACTAACCTCACTTATGAATGGGACTGAATTCTTTGAAAAATATTGCCGGGTTATCCCAAGAATGGTTCAGCATCTGAAAATTTTGTTTATTAACCCTCAACATCCATACATAGCAGAAGACAGTCTGAACATTTTAAATTCCATTAGGAAAGAATCCCCAAAAGTTATCAGCTCATTTACAGTTTTAAGTTAATAAAAAGGGTGGGAGAGAGAACTATAGAAAATCAGGAATAGATTTGCTAAGGGCAACTATGGTTTCTAAGGTGGTGCTTAGAAGTATTCCCAGTAAAGACAAGTTGTCAGCTTTGCACTCTAGCAATGTTTTTATAGTTCTTAGCCAGTAATTATAATATGAATAAGAAATGAGAAAGCCCATCAACAAGTGAGACAAAACATTAAATCCTAGACAAGATCTTTGAAACTCACACAAGACTTGAAAGACCTGGTAGACATTGCCATGGTCTGGTCTTTACATTCTTTAGTGTAAAGGGATAACCCAAAGGTGAGACGGGAGGCTGTTCTGGTGAGGTAACATTTGAAAAGAGACTGGAACCAGCAAGCCAAGACAGCAGGGGAAGAGCTCAGAGAATTCAATCAATTGTTCCAAGACAACTGATTTTTGTATTACAGGTGAGAAGTTGGGAAAATTAGATCCTTAACCATTAGGAAAAACTAACTCTAGGTTAGTTGATGTCAGAAAGAAGGATTACAACCTTAAGACTGAAGAAACCTTTAAGTAAAAGAACAGACTGAAAGGAAAGCACTAAGTTTGATCATGTGTCTTTTATGAACAGTACCTAAAACAGGGTATATTATCAGGACCAGACATTTTCCACGTTACAAACAAAGCACTATAAAGATGGTGTAACTACATGAGGAAACACAAAGGATTTAATGAGCCAAAGATGAACAGATATATGTCTCAGATAAGAAACCAAAATGACAACATAGTATTTCAGCCTTACTAATTCTTATGAGTAAAACACCATTTTATCCCCATCACATTGGCAAAGTAACTCTGACAGATACAGATTCAAGGATGTGAACATTCACTTTTTTATTATAATTAAAGTAACGTTCAATTATATTGAACTGAATTGGCAAGATCTACTAAAGTTAAACCTGTGTATATCTATGAACAGCAGTTCCATTCCTGGGTAGATAAGTGTGATCACTGGACAGCTGCAGGACTTGGAAATATGCTAGAACTAGTATTTCTTAGACTTCTGAATCAGAAGTCAGAGGACACATACCATGAACTTGTGTCAGCAGGCATTCCAGATGAGTCTGATACATGCTGGGCAGTTCCCTGTCAAAACATTTACTTCTTTGTTTTAGTTGGATATATGTCATAATTTACTGCCTTTTGATTAAAAGTACCCCAAGTTTACCAATAATCCAGTTGATCTCCAGAAAGGAAAATGGCCCATTTGTGGTTCATTTATAGTACACGGCAATTAAAATAAATTAACCTGTCATCTGTATGGGTTGATTTCAGAACAAATGTGCAAAATAAGTGCCATTTGTATAAATACACAGAAATAGACAATATAATGTGCTATTTACATGTATACTGGGAAATGATAGTAGACACAATCCAAATTTTTGGTCACAGTTATTTGTGGGCAAGGAATAATCATGAATTAATTTTGTCTCTAATGGTTTATTTCTAAATCTAAAGAGATGTAGAGGAAATAGAATAAAAATATCATACTAGGATTTATTAGAGTTTTGAGTATATTGTTTTTATTACATTATTTTCATTTTTAGCATGTAAAATATTATTTAGAAAGTAAAAATCTTGCTAGTTATAATACCTATCCCAATTTACTATTACACTGAGATAATGAATAAATACCTGGGACTCCCTTTCTTGAGAAACAGGTAGGTCAGCCCATGTGGATGAAGACTAAAGCAGACCAGTTCCTTCATGTGAATTTTGCAACTCCTTTGAGGTTCAGTACATGTGAAGAAATAGAAGTTAAATTGTTATTTTTATTTTTCCTACTGTCTGTCTATTCACTTTAAGGATGATTTAAAGCTGCAGATGGAAGCCCAGCGGATATGCCTTTCCCTAGTTTATTCAACTCACGCAGATCAGATTCGTGAATATATGGAAAAGGAAAGAGATGAAGCTCTTTGTAGCCTTAAAGATGAGCTTGTTTCTGCTCAAGAAAGAAAACTGATGGAGCTTCAGAAAATGCACCAGTGCCAGCTTCAGGCACTTCGGAGACAGAAGACAGGTAAACAGCTTCTGACTATATCCATGAAACAAGTGAGCAGTTCTGAAAATGCAAGTCTGTAGTGCTTGTCTTGGGCCCTGTGGGGGTAAGGTGGTTCTACATCTATTCCTGGATTTGTTTATTCATATTGTCTTTGAGGTGTCCAAGAAAGTGACAGTCACTGTATCGTTTTTTTGAATGGAAGTATAATCCATCTGGAAAGTGAGCTGACAACCTGTAAACCCTGCTGAACCATACATGCTGAATCACCAGTAGAGAAACATTAGCACAGCTGTCTAGGGCATATTATAATGATTGGCTACATTATACATGAGGTATACCAGAATAAAAATAATCCAGTTGACCTCTAAGGTGAACACAAAGAATGGGAGAGAAAGGAGAGGAGATTAGTGCTTCCTGTGAAAATAAGGCAGGAGCAATTGGATTAGAAGTTTAGGGATCCAGGGCAGCCTTTAATCCCAATACTCGGGAGGCAGGCGGATCTCTGGGAGTTCAAGGCCATTCTGGTCTACAAAGTGAGTTCCAGGACAGGCTCCAAAGTAATAAAGGGAAACCCTGTCTCAGGTGGGTGGGGGGTGGGAAACACTCTGAAGAGGTGAAAGTTCAAGTTGTGTAAGAAAGTACCAGCAGACAAGCTGAAGAGCAGCAAGTACCTGATTAGAAGATTTATAAACATGGAAGGAAGCATACTTAAGCTTCCTGCTGCTGATCAGAAGACCTGCTGCAGGGTTTTTAAGTAGAGTAAGCAACAGTGATATTTTTATTTTATATGACCCAGTGTGATTAAGTGAGAGAAAATGAAATAATTTATGGGAAGATCAGTTAAACAACCTTGGCCATAATCCCAATAAAATGCTGAGCTAATTATCCTTGAGACTGGAAAGGGAATGACAGTGGAGTTGAACTCTTAAAGTTAAATGCTATCTTGGCAGTCTATAGCAGCAGTAAGGGGTGGGAGGGGTTGTGAATGACCTTGACATTTCTTACCTATGTAACTGGATAAATGTGGGTTCAGTTAAAAACCGGGGAGCAGACCATAGACAAATAATAAAGTCAGTTTAGAACATTCTAAGTTAAGTATGTGTGCTAACATGAAACAGAAATAGTTGCTACTGAGCTGAAAGGTGAAGTCTAAACCCAGGGCAGACTTTGAAGCTGCAAAGGAGCAATAGAATCACCCTGGAAGTAGAAGATAGAAGCCCTAAGGCCAAGGCCAAGAGTGACATCCAGGAGACAGAGCCTGAGTAGCAAACCTTGATGGATCTGTGGGAAGTACATTGAAGGAGCTATAGTGGAAGGTGGAACCTATTGTGGGGCAGCTATAGTTGAGGATTTGGTAATTTTATCACTCTGGCTTCCTGTCATTTAAACTCCTTTGGTTGCCATATTTACCATTAGGAATGAGGTACTTTTTTAAGTCTCCAGTAGAATTGCTCTGTTGAAAAAAGTAAAGAGTCAATTAAGAAGGATGCACGATTTTCGTTTCAAGACTTCTTTGGTTTTTTAATGTAGTAAAATTTTACTTGTATTTGCATGCATTGTTTGTATTGGTACTGTCTTCATATAGCCTGTCCACTATTTTCTATTGACAGTTGATTATTCTATTAGTAGGTAATAAAGCCGTTTAGTGAGTAATGATCACTGTTTCTGAAAAGAGGAGAAGACAACAAAGTGCACTTTTAAAATGTTTTAATTAATTGATTTTTGTGGCACTAGGAGTGAAACTAGTAGTGCAGGGCTTGCACATACTAGTCAAGGTACCACTGAACTATGTCCCTGTGCAAAAAAAGTCAAGACTCATTTGCAGAAGTTTTATTTGAGGTTTGCAATGATGTATTTATTGGATAAGTATATGGATATATTTCTTGTGTTGGAGTGTAGGTCACTGCTTTATACTCTTTTATAGAATACAGCCAATCTTAGATATTGATCTGAGACAATTACATTGCAGAATGGAAAATAAATTTGGAGGAAATTAAAATGTGTCTTGTTTTAGGGAAGCTTCTAGTGGGAACAGTTAATTCTGACAGTATGGCTTACACATGTACAGTGAATGGCTCACATGTGCTATATCTTCTGCCAGGTGATGGCAAAGAGCCTTTACAGGTGCTCATTGGACGACTTCAAAAGGCAGTGTCTGAGGAGTGCTGCTCTATTTCAAAGGTAAAATGTTACTTTAAAAGTGGTTTAGGACTAGAGGTGCCAAAGTTTAAATTGGTAATGTTTCACTGAGTGGAACCATCCTCCTATGAGGATTTCCCTGAATTTTGTAGGTATGGACTTAAAAAGTATTCCTGAGTTGTAAGCTTTAAATGAACATTTGGCTTTTTTTCTGATAGCCATTTGAGAACAAAAGGTATTAGTACTAGGGATGTGACTCAGTGACTCAGCGCTTGCTTGTGATGTTTAAGGTTTTGGATTCAATCTCTGTCAGCACAGAAAAAGAACAAAGAGTCAGATCAGTTGCATCTCCAGCAGAGCAGACAGCATAAGCATTGCTCTTGTCAGAGACATGCTAGTTAACCTTTCTGGGATGCAGTTTGTTCATTGAGGGTACCATAGGATAAAATGCTATCTTTGTGGCTGCGCTGAGAAGTTAATATGTACAAACACTAACCTACAGTGTGGTTTAACTTTAAAAAATGCAAGAAATAATAGCAATAATAATTGGCTTTTAAACCTTTTAAATCATTGACAGTTATTTCTAGTTGTGTGAGAGACAAAGGTAAAACTGACTTAGTTGTCTTATGAAGTCACGGAACATGAAACAGTATTTTAAATGATTGTGGGGCTATCAGTTGCTCTGCAGAACACTGTGCTGGATATTTCTAACTTTGTGTTTGTACAGGCCACAGGAAATATTATAGAAAGGACACTAGTATAATCTCTCCCTTGATAGATTATCATTTTGCAGAGAGGTGTGGCAGACTTTTTGAATTGTCAGTTTTGAACCTCTCCCCTTGTGATGTTTGCTCCAGGATAGTTGATATAGTCATGAGATATTTGCAAGGTAGAGAGTAGGAGTAGGAACCATGCTAGGGTGTAAACACCTACACTTCATGATATATTCAGTATTAACAGAATGCAGAAAAAAGACGTCATTTTGTGTAATTAAGATTATCAATCTTTTCCTGATAAAAGAATAATTTCATGTCAAAGAGAATCATGATTATTCTGCAGATGTTATATGTGGGGGAAGAGGGAATTAAGGTTCCATTCATACTCTTTTGACCTTTTGCCTTGTTAATGATTTTTTGCCATGTTAATGATGTTTTAATAGTATTTAGAAGAAATCAAAATTTTACTTTAAAATAATTCAATTTTGTTAACAGACTCTAAATACTTTCCTTGATGAACACTATTGTCCTTTAAAATGCGAAATGAATATAGAAGAGAAAGAGAATTCTGGTGTTTACAATGAAATTCCGAGGTTGAAATTACAAGACTATAGATACCAAGTTGAAGGTAAAAAGCTTACCATACTGTTAACACTGTATTTACTTTGCTTAACTTGATTATTTATAAACTTAGCTTTAATCACAACTTGGTTATAGATGGGTTTTCTATCTTAGTATCTTATCTTTAGGCTTGAAATTTATTTATGTAAATTGATGTACACTTTTAGTCTTTATAGTATAACAATCATACTCTGCAGATAATTGAAACATTCTACTTTCCTTGTTTCTTTCTCCTCTATTCCTACTAATTTCTTCATTCTACTTCTTTCTGTTAACGGTTCTAACTGTAGTTTCTTTTAAAGTCTTAAAAAAATACTGAATTTACTAAGTTTAAATTAATGGTTATAATTTTTCTTTTTCTTTTTTCTTTTTTCTTTTCTTTTTTTTTTTTTTTTTGAGACATGGTTTCTCTATATTATTTAGGAGGCTCTCCTGGAACTCACTCTGTAGATCAGACTGGCCTTGAACTCACAGAGATCCGCCTGCCTCTGCCTCTGGACTGTTGGGATTAAAGGCATGCACCACTAACACCCAGCGAATGGTTTATAATTTTTAAAGTGAATGACAAAAACATTGAGCAGTGAGCTACATTAAGAAATATCCATTGCCAAGGATTGCTCCTACTAGGTGGAGCTCTGTGAGTCCTCCGCCATCCGGTCTGCATAGCGATTCCAGGCCACCCATGGCTAAACAAAGAAAGAAATAATTTTCTTCATATGTGTTGTTAGTTTCTTTTTGTTCTTAGCAAATTGCAACTTGAGTTTGTTGGTGTTCCTTCACAGATGTATGTTCCCAGTATCTTTATTTGTATATGCAATGAGCAACCTGCCAATAAGTAGCTACAGAATGTATCTTGGGATGAAGCTTTCAAGTTAATGTTATACCACTTATTTCACAGTCATCATTTTTTAAAAAGTTTTTATTACTAGATATATGGGTCCTAAACTACCAGATGGTTTTCAAAAGTTACAATTAGGTAAATCATATTTTTTAAAAAGGTAAATTTGTACTGTGAAGTGAAATCATTATAATTGTTTGTTTTTCATCTAGATTTTCAACATAATATGGAAAATTTTCTGAGTAAAGTCAAGGATGAACACAACAAGCTTGTGACACTGCAGATGCACTTAAGGAAGGTCTGTGGGGTAGAAAATATAATGTTTGCATTTATTTTATTATCTGCTCTTCTGTCAGTCAAGAAGATCTAAAATAAGTGAGCATAGAAAAGGCTAGTGGAAATACAGCAACTATTTCCATGTTTATCTTAGAGCATTTGTATCAGTAAGCTGAAGAAACTTCCAGAGAGTATTATGTAACTCTCTGAGATGCTTTTTTAAGTCATGATGGAGTGTACATGAATGTCAAGTATTAAGCAAAGGAAACAGTAGAATTTAATTGTGTAGATACCTTTCCTCTTTTTGTTTACTGACGTTTGATCAAAGGCACTTTGTAGGACAGCTGTCTATCACTGAACTATACCCTCAGCCTGTTACATGTAACATTTCTTAAGGCAATGGTCTGTCTTTATAGTTTAAAGAAGATAATTAGTTGTTTTGCACATAACTTATATTGTTACATAGTATCATCTATGTTGGTTTTCTAATGCTATAGTTAGTTTATAATGTGTTCTTAAAAATCAGGTAAGATGACATGTACAACATAATATAAATTAGTAGTTGTATCACAGAAATAAAGCACATATTGTCAAATTTCTAATTGTCTATTCTAATATTTAAGTTGTAGAAAAATATGGCAAAAGACTCCTTCAATTATTTGAGATAGTTTTTGGCACTCAGTTCTGTTGGAATGTTTAGGTACATTTTCAAGATTTTTAGTTGTACATAGGACTAGGACCCATCACAGCAAAACCAAACAGGACAAAGTCAGCCTTGGAAAGACTTGAAAGGCTGCATGGCCAAAGTCCCAAGAGGAGCAGGTGCACTTGACACACTTTAGTTCTTCCAGTTTGAGTGTAATAACATGTTCACATTGTGTACCAACAGCGCTCCTTTGCCCTGAGGAGTCCAAAGTTTAATATCAAGTGCAGATAAGCAACCTTCACAAGTGTTCACATGGACTAATCCTTAGTGCTTTTCTATGTACACAATGCTTACCCACAGTTAGCTTTCAGGCAGGTATATTAGCATATAGAGCTCTGTGTTAGGTTTCTGAAGTACTGCCAAGAGAAAAGTTCATAAGCAGGCCCTTCTAAAGACAGATATCTAACACTGCTCTCTAAACTGTCCTCTGCACACTGGGTAATGAGTGCTTTTAACACAGCCAGTTAGTTGTGCATTGTATGATGGTTTTGCTCTTTTACTCTTCTGTCTTTTTGCATGGCCCACCATCCAGCTCCCAGATAAATCACAGACTCAGGCTTATTCTTTGTTCTGAGGGTCTGGCCTTACATTGCCTTGTCTGTAGTCCTTTTACCTTTTCCCTCTGGGCTTTTATCTTTCTCACTTCTGTATATCTTACTTTCCTTCTTACTCCATGACTGGGTGGATGGGTGGCAGGGTGGTTGGGTGGCAGGGTGGCTGGGTGGCAGGGTGGCTGGGTAGCTGGGTGGCAGGGTGGCTGGGTAGCTGGGTTCTGATGTCCTCCTCTCCTTTTCCTCTTGCTGCTCCTGTTCCTTTGTTCTCCATTTATGCTCTCTGCCTGCCATGCCCTCCTATCCTGCTCCTGCTTTGCCATTGGCCGTTCAGCTCTTTATTAGGACCACCAGGTGTTTTAGACAGACACAGTGGCTTCACAGAGTTAAACAAATGCAGCATAGACAAAAGTAACACACCTTAGAATAATAATCTAACACAGCTGTGACTTCAGGCCATGCCAGGTCCTTGAGTATCAGGTCAGGACGGCAATACATCAGCATCTCAGCCAGATGAACTGAAACTCTCCCTCCTGGTGTTGTTGAATGATATTCCTTTTTCCTAGTGTTACCCATCCTCCTCCAGTCTTTCCTACTTGTTCCTGTTTCTTGTTCCTGTTGGCTTAAATGTTACTTCCTTGTGTCATCTTCTCTTGCCTTCCTAGGCTTGGACATTTTTCCCTCTGTTCCTCTGAGCTTCTCTTAGCTCAGATACCTGGTTAGCCTTCTTTCTTTCAAAGCTCTCTGTCAAGCATATATTTGCATCATGTTACTTTTCATTTTATTATAACTTTATTCATCTACCAAGACTCTAAATTTTCAAATCAGACAATTCTGTGTTTATTCCTTCCTGTTACCCCAGTACTTGGATTGCACTTGTTAAAGGCTCAGTAGGTATTTATGAATGAATTGAGTAAAGATATAAAATATTAGGCTGTAAATTATGATATTATCTTGTGGTTTTTGTTATTTCCCCTGGGAAGTAATAGATAAGATTCCCCTGTTTAAGTGTCCTCAGCCTGGAGAATGGCTCAGTAAAGTGCTTGCTATGCAAGAAGAGGACCCGAGTTTAATCTTTCCAAACTCATGGCAAAGGTGGCATGTCCTGTAATCCAGTTTGAGGGAGGTAGAGACAGGAGGCTCCCTGGGGCTTGGTGACCAAGCAGTCTGGCCTAATTGAAAAGTTCCAAATGTGTTGAGAAACTGAAAGACGGAAACATCTGCTGATGACTTCCATGCCCATGCACCCCCATATAAATTGCATGTGCACAACCATGTCTGTACACACACATACACCCACAAGCAAGGCAATAGGAAACATTCAGGAGGTAGGCTTGTGGTAGAGGACAGGTAATAAAGAGAGTAGTGACCAATTAAAATAGCCTCCTAGAACATGGTTTTTATCCTGTTACTGACTGGTTTTCATGGCATCCTATATTCCATCTTGACCAGAAAGTCAAGACTCTTTCCCCTTGTAATTTAGATGTACTTTACTTAACTAGCTTTATTTTCCCTTTTCATTCAGTATAAGCCCCTGTCAACAGGTCATTGTTTTTACTCCTTAGAGCATAGGTCTTCTCACAGAGCCTTTCCAGAAAGTCATTGCTGTAAACTGTTAGTGCCCAGGTCAAATCTGGGTTCTTCCCCAGTTGCTCGGATGCACTTCAGTCTCTCTCCCCTCTGAGTCACTGCCATTGTATTCAGGCTTCACAGGTATTGCTTCTTGAAAAGTCTTATTTCTTCAGCTAGTTAATAAACTCTCTGAGGAGATAGATGCAAATATACTCACTTTCTCACTCGTTGTATATGTGTGTGTGTGTGTCTGTGAGTGTGTGTGTGTGGGGGGGGTAGGGGTGGGGGTGGGTTGGGTGTGCCTTTAAGCTGATTTTGTAATCTTCCTCTGCCTTGTCTTAATATTAGACATGCAGATGCAGATTCTTACATTTTTGGACAGTGTGTTTATTGTAATGAGCAGTATACAAATTGTCAGTTACCTGCTTAAACCCATCATCCGGAGGTAAATAAGAATTATGTTGTCAAGTATTGATAATAAAAATTTGTTGCTTGCACTAAAGTTTCAAAGGGCTTTCAGTTTAAATTCCTGTGAAACATTTGTTTCTGGAAAGTGAATGTTCCTCTGGGTATAAAAGAGCTTTCCTAATACAATTTCATTCCCATTATTATGACAGTCACTTGTCAAAAGGAAACAAAGTGTTTGATTGATTCAGAGCAACAAAGTTCTTTAATTGTTTTAATATAGATTTCAAAGTTCAGATTGTATCTTTATATCATCATTCCTTTGTTTCCAATAGATTCATGGACAGCAAACAGATGGTGTGAAACTTGAGTTTCCTGAAGAAAATGTGGCAGAAGAGGAAGCAGGGTCTTTGTCGGTTTGCTCTCAGGCTGGTTTACAGAACACTGGTAAATTTTAAGTGTAGAACATCGTAGTGTACTTTTATACCAGATGTTTACAAATATGTGCTGTTCTTAAAACTCTGTGGTAGTTTGATGACCTTAGGAATTGCATGGTCATCGTGTTCAGTTTTCTCTTCTTTAAAGAGAAAGTCCAGACTCCTCATTTCTTCTGTCCTTTATCATTTCTCACGTTCTATGTTTCTAAATTGTTTCAAATGGAATGATGTAATATTGTTAGATTTAGTGATTCTACAACCAGGAGGATAGAAAAAGTGATCTTGAATCACATTTTTGTTTTTAATGAGAATAAAAGGTTATCACTAAAAGCAAGGTTTTAAAAAATCACAAGCATTTTTGTACACACAAGTAACTCTGCTTTGTCAACAAGAAACTTGGACTAAAGTATGCCTTTGATTCTGTTCCTATGACACAGACATCAGTCCTGAGAGTGAGGTGTCTCCTCTGCCAAAGAGTGAAGAAAGTAAAGAACATGACAAGCAGGTTCAGGGGTCAGAGAGACTCGTGAACACCTTAGAGCAGCAGCTGAAGCCAACTGAAGTGCATTATGGAGCAGAGATCCCATATTTGCAGGGAAGCCTTCAGACCATCCATGGACTGTCAGCACAGCCGAGGTATCCATCTGTGTCCTGTGGGTCATGCATCAGTATATCCAGAGGTTATTTTAGAGGTTATTCTAAGAGTAAAATATAAGTTGATTAGAGTCATAAGATAAATACACAGGAGATGATTCTGTGACCATAGGAACTTTGAGTGCATTTTCATAAAGATGTTATTCTTCAGGATTAAATCAGACAGTGGGTGTACATTTGTTGTGTATTCTTTGCCTCGTCTTCACTACTTTGACATGGTCAATTCCCTAGCAGTGTATGACTCAGAATCCTTAGTAACATCAACCACTGTCTTGTTTATGTTTAGTGTTGATTCGGTTATATTACAAGAATGTGCTGCACAGGAATGTCTTCACTGTGGAAACTGTCTACATGAGCACATTGTCAGCATCACAGAGGTATTACATTTCTTATCTTTAGTTTTAAACATTTAAACACCCTGATTTTTCTTACTATCATTTTTATGAATATGTTTTGCTAACTTATCTACTCAGGAGAAAAGATTTAACATAAAGACTTGCATTTTTTCTTAGCGCAAGAAAAACTAAATAAGAGAGATTTGTTTCTTATCTAAGATTATTACCGATTTTAATTTTTCCTGATTTATTTAATTTTGATTGAAGTATAGTTACATTATCTCCTGTGTTCCTTTTCCATTCTCAGGTCTCCCCCATGTGCCCCACTTACTTCTCAGATTCATGGTCTCTTTTTCTTTATTATTATAACACACACACACACACACACACACACACAAACATACACAGGACTGACTTATGCATTGGAAATCAGTTTCATTGCTTTTCTCTTCCGACTGTGGGAAGCAGACCAGGCTATCTTTTCACCAGTGTTCACGCATCCCCCAGATCTCAGGTTGTGGTGCTTTTGGATGGATCCTCATGTAGCAGAAGTCATATCTTCTATAAAACTCTTGGAACAGTTCATGCCACACAGGGAAATATCTTGGAGCTCCACTCTTCAAATCTCCAGCAGTAGAACTGTGATCTTCATCTTCATTCAGAGAAGATCAAGATCATTGCTCTTTCCAATCTGTTCATCAAGGAGAGATAATAGCTAAATTCTATATGCTCCTGCACTCGTGTGAATCATTTGTTTGGATGAAATTCCCTAAATGGGTGTGGATTGTTGTTCTGTGGGTGACATGGAGGCAGCCTCCAGGGTTAGTGGGAATATGGCTAGCAAGAAAGACAGATGGCAGGCCAAGAGGAAGAATTGTGGTTGTAATGCAAAGAGGAGACCTTCCTTCCTACTGCCAGTGCCTCTCAAGTGCCATCTCTGAAGAAGAGGACCAGGGCCCTAGCTGGACCCAGAGGTCAAGGAGCTCTGACAGTTCCAAAGAAGCTAGAGCAAACCTGTGTGGTACCCCACCCCTGTGGATGTGGTCTAGAAGCTCTGTCATAGTGAGATATCTAAAAACCCACACAATTGAAGTCTAAAACTCAAAGCAAATGTGAGGTCCCTGAGGCTCAGGGAGTGTTGGTCTGTGCTGCGAATTGCTGAGGAACTCTGGACACAGGAAGGAGAAGATGGGGAGACAAAAAGATGCTGTAGACTAACATTGTGGGAGCTGGGGACACTGCAAATGCTGACAAGCACCTTGGCTTGGGTGTCCTCACTGAATACTTTCAGAACTGAGAGACACTTGCCTTTAGAAGAATATCTGGATCATGTGGCTGTCCTGGGTTGAGTGACAAAGTAGCTCATATACAAGATGAGCATCCTGGAAACACTGCTCACTGTGGCCCAGAACCACTGGCTTTACCCCTGTGGCCGACAACCAGGACATCTTGCCCCACTGTGACCATGTATTGCCACTTACATTCCTCCACTTCCTCCTGGCTCCAGCTTCGTGGACCTGGTTTGTGACCTATGTGAATGAGTCAGGGAAGATGATGATAGCTCTAAATTCTTGGGCTGGACAGCTCAGTCATGTCTCAGAACTTTACAATGCTCATCTATCCTGAACACATTAATAACACTGTCTGTATGCAGGGAAAATGAGTAGTGTTCAACATATAGGTAGACCTACCTCACCCATGTGCTCTCAGGCCATGTGCATGGACGAGAGCTCTGTCCCTTCTGAGATGTGCTGGAGATGGTTCAGAACAAGGGGCATCACTAGCATGCTGTTCCCTGGGGCTACTGAGCCCAACTTTGATTGCCTGAAATCCAAGCTAGACAAAAGTTGGAAGAAGCACGAGAACTGGAAGGTGAAGGCGCTATGGGAGAATATCCGTGCAGAGGTCATTGTCTGAATCTTCAAGCCCTGGCAGATAGGATCCTATTGGAGAAGCAGCAGAAGTAGCACATAGAGAAGCTACTTACTTCCCTTGTCCTAGGGCTGTCCTCTAGCCCAAGACAAAGCGAGAGTGATGAAACTCCACAGCAAGTCTGGTGAAGATGAAGAAGGCGTCCTGGACCAGGAGCGCAGCAAACAAGTCAGACAGAGTCTTCAGTAGCAACAGCAGCAGCAGCGGCAAAAAGTATCAAAGCAAAAGAAAGCTAAGCCCACCTGAATGTGAATGTCTGCACTGTGTAGGCTAGTATCCTGAGCCAGAGGCCACAACACCCGAAATGACTCATAAGGACTAGGAGACGGCACTAGCCTAAGGCACTTGCTGAAGACCCTAGCTTGATCCCCAGAAAACACATAGTAGAAGGACAAATCACACTTACACTTGACTTTTATATGCATATAGTGACACCCATGTCTGCCTTCCTCTGCCTCCGGAATGCTAGGATTAAGGCATGTGCCACCACTCCCTGGCTGAAATTTGCCTTTCTCAAAAAAGTATCTGTGAAGTTGCTGTTATTTTAGAAACATTTTTGGATTAAGAGTAAAAGTTGGTGGCAATACCAGTGGCTTAAACAAATATGTCATGTTTTACTTTTTCATTAAGTTTCCAGATGAATTTGAACGAAGTCAAGAAACAAATATGATTAAATTAATGGAAAAACAATATCAAGAGCGATTAGAAGAAGAAGTAGCTAAGGTAGGTGCGTAGTTGATGTAGAAATTGGTCTCTGTTCCCTTGAAGCCTTCACCTGGCAGATTTTAGGTATGTAATACATTTTGTGTCCTAAGTTTCTTATATAGTTTACCTGTAAGTTGTCAGGTAATAGTATCAACTATAGATATTTTAGATATTGCTATGCTCTCGTTCTCTCTCTGTGTCTCTGTCTCCCTTTTTGAGACAAGGTGTTGCTGTTTAGCCCAGGCCAGGTTCAATCAAACTCATCCTCCTCATGCCTCTGCTTCCCAAATTATTACAGGTATGCACCACCACACCTGGCACAATAACTGGTTTTAAGTGGACTACTGTGTAGATATTGTTGGTCTTAACCTGCCTTTTCAAGGAGTTTGGCCATCTTTAAAAATGTTTAACGTCAGGACAGTAACTCAAAGCAGTTACTGTGGTGTGAGATGGTTAGTTGAGGTACTGACAGGATTGCCACTGAGCTTGGTTCCTGGCTGAGTGAAGGAGTTTTAGCAATGTGGTGTTTGCTTGTCTTTGAATCTTCAGTTGCTGTGCTCAGAGCCCATCTTTTAGACTAGAGTGTAAACCACCCTAGGCCACTTTCTAGTTCCATTTATTTTGTCTTATTATTTTCTTTTAGAATACATATATTCATTTGCATTTTAATATTGGAATCATTAAATTTTGAGCTTTTTTCTCCTTTTTAAAAATAACTGTTCCAAAACAACAATCTGAGTGGAGACTACATATTTTTAAAAGGAAGACAATTGATAAAATGTAAAGAAAATACATGACATGTTAGTGTTAGAAGAAGACCTAGGGAAATATTTAAGCTGCGAGGACTCATTTATTCTTTGAGCAGAATTAATAGTTCTTTGAGATGTCAGTGAAATTCTTAGAGAAATGCAAGTCTTCTCTTGTTCTTAATGCCTACAAAGACTCTCAAATAGAGTGTTATATCAGTGGGTCTCAAAGTTAACATGAGAGTTGCTACTGAACATGTTATACTTACGTTACTTAACTTATTAATGTTAGTTTTCTCAATATAAAAAAAGATAATAGCAATTCTCATGAAGATAAAATGAGCCTCTGCATGTAAAGCACCTTCAGTCCATTTGATGCAGAAAGTTCTCAGTTGTAATAGTAGGAAAGAGAAGATGCAGTTTACTTACTGGATGCTGTCTAGAGGAAATCACAAGTCTTTATGGAGTGTTTTCTTTTTCCACAGTGTAGATGCCATAATCACTTTATTACATCAGCATTTGTATTTATCTTTGTTGTCAGACTGATTAGATTTAGAGTCACCTAGGAGGTTGATGAGACAAACCTTTGGGTGTGCCTGTGGATGTTTCCAGAGAGTAGGAGCTGTGGAGACTCTGGATGTAGTCTTGTAGGTTTTAAGCATAGACAGAATAAGAGGTGTAAAAGGAGAAAGCCAACCCAGTGTGTGCATCTCCTGTCTCTGTTTCCATACCCGTTGTGTTTGAAACAACTCTCCTCACATTCATGGCCACCGTGATGGTCCACCCACCCACCTAGAGTCAAGCAGTAATGAACCTAACTCTCTGGAAGTCAGGGTTGAAAGAAATCATTCCTCTTCAGTTTGTGTCTGTCAGGTATAATAGTCACAGCATGGGAAAAGGTCTTGAATACACCTATGTAACTTTTTCTGAAGTATTTTTTGTTTTGTTTGCTTTTTAATTTGCTTCGTGTGTTTAAAGTGGTGGGAATGAACCATGCCCCAGCTCTGTAACTTGTCTTTAGTTCCCTAACCTTTACTTGCATTTTATTTTCTGCTGTTTGAAAGATGTCCTTTTGAAGTTACTTTTCTGATGACCTCTTGGGAATAAGCTTAAACTTTAGAATCTTATTTTTCTTTTGCTCATGAAGTATGTCTCATAGCTATTAAAGTTGACAGTTGTTTTTATGTGAAAACTTTCAAATTATCATTCTGCTTTTTTGTGATCTTCTTGGTTCTGCTAAGAAGGTCCTCTTCAGGTGTTTTGAGGGCATATAATGGTAATGTCTTTGGAAACCTTTCTGTCCATTGCATATCTTGAGACTTTGGAACGTTGATATATTCTGCAAATGTCCCTGCCCTTTTAATGAAAGATTTCCATCATTCTCTATTAAACCATACTGGAACTGTAACAACAGTGAGATACATATTCAATATTTTGCTCTGTTTCCCATATCTTATTGTTTTTTGTTTTGTTTTGTGGTTCTTTCTTTGTTGTTTGTTTGGTAGGGCCTTGTGTACTAAATGAGAACTTAGATTCTCTGTATATCAGAGATGACTATATTTCTGATCCTGTTGTGTCCACTACCTGAGTGCTGAAATTACAGTCATGTGACATCATGTTCAGTTCTTTATGTGCTGTTATGAAATGACAGGCATGTTACAGCATGTGACATCATGCTCAGTTCTTTATGTGATGTTATGAACTGAACCCAGGGCTCCATGCCTATTAGGTAAGTACTACCCAGCTCATTTCATTTCTTCTTTTTGAATCAATCTTTAAATTAGAAATTACTAATTAATTAATTTGGTTTTTTGACATAGGGTTTCTTTGTGTGGCTTGGCTGTCCTGGAACTTGCTCTGTAGACCAGGCTGGCCTGGAACTCACAGAGATCTTCTGCCTCTGCCTCCTGAATGCTAGGATAGAAGGTGTGCGCCACCATCACCTGGCCTCTTTGCCTCTTTTTTTCATTTATAAATTATTTTTCTTTTCCTTTTCTCTGGATTCAATTCAGGGAATTACAGCAAAAGCCACTTTGAAGATCTTGACTATTAGTTAGAAAATGCTGTCTGTATGTTTTGCTAAGTTGTATTATTATTATTTATTAATTTATTATGCTTTTAAATCCCTATGGGACCACAATTTTCCCCTCTCTCCTCTCTTCCCAGTCTTCCCCTCTCTCCTTCAACCCTAATCCGCTCTTCTTCCTCCTTCATTTCTCTTCAGAAAAGGACAGTCGTCTTCGTTCCCGTCCCCATTTTCCCCCCAAATATCTACCAGCCCTGGTATATCAAGTTGGAGTGAGACTAGGCACCTCTTTCCTATTGAGGCTGGATGAGTCAACCTAGCATGAGGAATAGGGTCACAAAAGCAGGTTACAGAGTCAGGGACAGCCCCTGCTTCCACTATTTGGAGTCCCACAAGAAGACCAAACTACATAACTGTAGCATATACAGAGGGCATAGGTGAAGGTGAGGATGTCATTATATCACTAGACCCAAGATAAATGATAAATGGGTGTTTATTGGGGAACAATTACACAGACAAATACAAAGAACTGCTGGAGTGTTTTCCTGCTCTTCCTACCAGATCTGCTGACCCACCAGAAAGAGTGCACTAAAGGAAAGTCATGCCTCAAGCTCCCCTCTTTCTGATTCTGTCTACATGAAGCTACACCCAAAGTGGTGTGGCCACCATGGTTACAGGTCCATAGACCAGATGCATGCAATTCCCCTTTTAGTCTAAAAAGGAAGGCTTTAAGCCTGATGCAAAAACTATATACAATGATAACAAATGTCAATGAAAGGTAAACCTACACTAATTAAAACCTACTATTAGCAAGAGCAACATTAAGCAATAGATATATACTACATGTCCAGTGTACGTGCCCAGTCTCAGGGTAAAGGCATGACAGAGATTACTCTGATAGCTGTCTCAATCTGGAAAGTCTAAACCTTGTCTATCTAAGATAAGAGAGGATATTGCTGTGACTGTCTACTCTTCAATCTCATCAAAGACTTAAGAAGGAAAGTAACAATACTAGGGTAGGCTAGAAGAGCAAGTGTGTGACTTCCAAAGGTGCAAGCAAAGACAGCAGGCTACCTGGACAGTCACTCAAGGTCTCACAGCAATGTTGGGGCGACCAACTATGGCTAAAGCCTAATGCAACAGATGGATGTCTCAGAAGCCAGGAAATTTAAAAAACTGTCTTACCCTGAACTTGGCAAAGTTCAGCGGCTGTCTTTAAGTTTATCTCCTGCTAGCCCAGTTAGGAGAGTGTGTCCAAGGTCAGCAGTTGAGGTGGGGGCAGATCTTTGCCCAGGAGGCCAGTAGCCGAGGAGAGAATGAACTCCATTTGGAATGTCGTGCCCAACATACTGTCAGGAATAGCTCAGTGCTGTCAGCAGCAATTGTATCTCAAGTTAGCAGAGTACTAAATTATTAAGACATTTAAATGCCATATTCTGCAGGTCTTTGAAGTGCTTAAAGATCAAATATCTATGTCTGGCCAACAGGTTGAAGGTGTTTCTGTTATTCTTGGTGGAGCATTACTTCTATTAAAACAGGACTCTCACTTCTGGAGAGCATTGTATCTGGAAAGCAGTAGGCCAGGTAGAACCAGGTTCAAGACAGGAGATTAAATCAAAGTTCATTTGTATGGGCTAGATGACAGTTTTTGAAAGCTAGAAGTCAGGCACAATGGATTCAGACTCCAGGCATAATCTCACGCTGAGTTCATGACAGCCAGCTGTCCTAACCTCCGATGGTCTGTGGACACAGAACTTGATATAAAGCTTTTGAAACACTTGTTTCTCAAAGACTCAAGGCCTTCTCAGATTTTGAAGTACCCGTGCGAGGGGGAAATAGACAGTGATCCAGGGTCATAACTGTAGTGGAATGTCAGAACCTCCTTACCAGTTCATAGAACCAGTTACCCTGCAGCAGGTTGTTTCTTGCAGGGAAGTAAGAAAGGATGTGCATGATATTATAGTTAGACAGACTTCGTCATGGTGCTGCTTAAAATATCATAATGTAACCATGCCAGGGGCAGTGGTACTCTTCTGTAATTCAAGCCGCAGAAGACTGAAGCATTACAAGGCAGAAGCATTACAGGTTCATGGCCAGTTTGGACTACAAAGTAAGTCTGAGGTCTGCCCATGCTACATAACATTATTACAAAAGAAAAAAAAATAGCAAAAAAGTGAAAACCAGTCTTAAGTATTTACCAATCGAGAATTGATTAAAAGAATATATATAATAAATCTCCTTTTGACTCAGAAACATATTTACTATTTATAAGCTATGACCAAGTTATAGTTTAGAATATGATTACATTTTTTGTAGTCAATTTCTTACCTATATCTGTCCATATCTCTACACAAAGAGAAAGAAAAGAGCTTAGAAAAATATTTACTAAAAGTTATAGCAAATTGGTTTGGAAGAAACATTAAAACTTTATTATCCTTTTTTTTTTTAAAAAAAAAAAAAAACCTGAACACTTCTGGCTCTTGTTAAAAAGCTTTTTACTTTTTTTAAATTTAGGAGTACAGAACAATAATTATGTAGATATCCAGTTCATTGCAGAGAGTTTACCCAGGACTTTTTTTTTTTTATAGGATTTCTTTTCATCTAAATCCACGAGGCCAGGCCTTTTGTTTATTATAATAGAGTTTTTTCTTACATAATACATCCTGACTAAGGTTTGTTCCTCCTCTATCCTCCCAGTTGCTCCCCCCCCCACCTTAGATCTACCCCCTTTCTGTCTCTCAGTAGGAAAGAACAGGCTTCTAAGGTAACAACCAAACATAATAAGATAAAACACAAACTAACACATTGAAATTGGACAAAACAAACAAGAAAAAGAACCCAAGAGAGACATAATAATCCTTGAGATCCACTCATTCGGACAGTCAGGATTCCCATGAAAACTCTAAACTAGAAGCCATTTTACATGCAGAGGACCTGTTTGGGTCCTGAGTTCATATGTGCTTTGTTCTTAGTGATTTAGAGGGACTTTTTTTTCTTGGTGTCCTCAGTCCCCTCTGGCTCTTACACCCTTTCTGCCTCCGCTTCAACAGTTTCCCTGAGCACTTAGGGGAGGGATTTGATGGAGACCTCTCATTTAGTACTGAATGTTCCAAAGTGTTTCATTCTCTGCATAATGTCTGGCTGTGGGTCTCTATATGTGTTCCCATCTGCTGCAGGAGGAAGCTTCTCTGATGATGACTGAGCAAGGCACTGATCTATGAGTATAGCAAAATGTCTAGCAGTCATTTTGTAGCTGTAGTTTTTGTTGTTGGTTTTTACCCTAGGTCCTTGGGCTTTTTTACCCTCAGGCTCTTGGTTACCCAAGCATTGTTGGGTATGGTTTGAGGTCACACTTCTTAAAATGTATCCTCTTAAGTAATAATTTCCTTTTTCAGTTCCAGCTGATGTTTAAGAATTGAGTTGATCTTTTTGATTGTTTCTTTTATTCATTTAGGTCATCGTGTCAATGAGTGTAGCATTTGCTCAACAAACGGAACTGTCTAGAATATCCGAGGGGAAAGAGAACTCTATACAATCAGATCAAGCAAGCTCTCTATGTTCTCAAGAACATGCTTTTGATGACGTCACATCACAGGGTCGAGTATATCCGCAGACTCTTTCCAGAGTTGACAAGAATTTTAAAGAACAATTTAAACCACTTAGCAGTGAATTAGAAGAACACAGAAAAGCTCCTTTGTCTAACCATGATGATCTTAATAGTGATATATTAAAGTCAAAGGACCAAGGGCTGAGTGTTTCACAAGAAATATTTTCCAAAGATGAAACACTTACAGTTAAACCATGTGTAAGTATTACTTCTAGGATTTTTTTTAAAAAAGCAAACAATTCATAAAAGCAAAAATGGTTTTTCACTATTAATATATTATCAATAGTGTTGCTTAAGGAAGAAAAAAGTATCAATTTCAGCCTGAGTAGGACTCACATTATTTTAGTTTATTAGTGATAAAGCATATAGTAAAATGACATTAATCCTATTAAACATTGTCTGTAACAGTGAGATGGCTCAGTCCCCAAGCCTGATAGACTGAGTTTAGTCCCTGAGACTCACATGATAAATTGAGAGAACTAACTTCCCCAAGTTGTTCTCTGATATGTGTATACATACACACCTACACCCACCCACCATGATAGGTACTAAAAGTACTGTATTGACTTTTTAAACAATGAAATCTCATAAGTTACAGCTGATTATCCTGTAATGTGGCAATATCTATGACTGAAAGATTTGCTCAGTTACATATAAGAACATATGAGGAAATAGTCATCTATTTAAGAATAATTTAAAACATTTTACTAAATCCTAATTTTCTTTTTCCTTACATATTCACAAATAGATGTATTTCCTCAACATTTTGCTATCTTTTTTGTGACTCAGCAGGATTTATTTATATATTTATCAATACATGTAATATATATTAAATCTATTATATATACACACACACATAAATTCTAAGAAAATGATGCTATGGTCTTGTGGATTTGGCTGCCTGATGGAGTTGTGGCTTCATTAAAAGTAGAGGGAATATTGAATGTCTTTATTATTTTTCCTTGAGAATTATAGTTTAGCTAAACTGACTGATAGATACTTTCCTCCTGTAAAATAACACAGTGCAATAATTAACTTACTACTGTTTTAGAATTGTGATTAAAAGAAATCCCCTTTAAATTCAGGTGCCCTATGGGTTTAGTAGAATTGCTTTCATGTTCGTTGAAAATATCAATAATGGTAAATTTTCACAATTCATGTGTGGTTGAACTTCTTGTTTCTACTTATAAAGATCCATGATGAGGTGTCATACACAGAGACTTGTAAACAGCTGGAAGATATGCGGCAAGAACTTGTACGCCAGTATGAAGAGCACCAGCAGGCAGCAGAACTGTTGAGGCTGGCACACATGAGACAGATGGAGAGGCAGCGAGAAGACCAAGAGCAGCTAGAGGAGGAGGTGAAGAGTCTCAAGGAGCAGTTAGCCCAGGTTGGCACTGAGAATCCCTTTTGTCCCCAACTAAAATAACATTATTTATGTAATCTTTTTTTAAACTTCAAAATTATTTTGCCAGATCTGAAAATAATTAGGAATATTTAACATTAGGATCTCCCCATCAGCCAACAGCTCTTGAGCTCAAGACAAGTCTGACTCTGGTTTGTAGTGTTCATCATTAGGCTTTTTTACATAGCAAAGGATGTGCAATGGACAGCTTGGGCAGTCTGCACTGAGGTGCTTGCTGAGGCAGCTCTCTTCCATAGTCAGGTGACCTCTGAGCCCGCCAGCTAGTAGTCACAGCGCACTTCTGTCTATCTGTAATCCACCTTGCTAATCAATGGGAATCTGGTGTAGCATGTCTCTGGAACTTTGTCTAGGGAAACATATCTGGTTGATTTGAAAAATGAAACATTCTTAACCCTTTCTTGACTATATTTAAAAATTCTTTGGTATTTGGAGCTATATTCTTACTGGTTGCTATGTAAAATATACTTGCAAAATCATTGCAGAAAAGCACATAAGAAAAAATTAAATTTAATTTTGAAAACTAAAAGAAAAAATAGAGAATCACTGACATGGATTCCTTCAGATATAAAATAATGAGAAATTTGGGGTTGGAGCATAAAATATGAATCATTTGAAAAAAATCAGTTTTGCTTTTCTTCATTGTATTTTGTGAATTCAGACTTCTGAATTTCTCAATGCAAATTTGACATATAAGTATTAACTGAAGTGTGTAAATCTCTGAATTTTAGAATTTCAATCAACTTTTTTCTAAAATTTCAAATTTTGCATTGAATTTTGTAATGCCTTTTAACCTCTTATAATGGAATCTTAATCATACATAGTTTGAAAAAAGGACCTTTGGTTCCAAGGGGTTAAAAGAATTCTGCTAATTGTTTCTGTGCTCTTCTCCTATCACCAATAATATTTGCTTACAACCATTTCTCTTATTTAGAGATCTTCAATAAATACTGAAAACGAGGTTTCTGAGAGAGAGAGGGTGCTTTTAGAGGAACTGGAAGCACTAAAGCAGCTGTCTTTAGCTGGAAGAGAGGAGCTGTGTTGTGAGCTGCGCAACAGCAGTACTCAAACACAGGTAGTGTGGACTTTGGCTCATCTAGGAGCAATGGATCAACAATGTAGTAGGCTTTGTTTGTCTTTCTTGTTGGTGTGAGATGTCATTTTTTTATGGGCATTAAGTTTAATGTGTTTGATTGCATCAGTAGAAAGAAGGTCACCTTGCATTGTACTGGTAATTTGATTCTGATATTGCAATAGCAGCAACTGTTGCTCCACTCTAGAACAGCCTAACAAATTTTACTGTCAGCATATACAGCATGCATTCCTTTGAACCCATTCCATTTTTTTCATCTGTGCATTAGAATGTTTTATCTTTTCTAGATAATGCTAATCTCTCCATAGCATAGTTAAACATTATTTCAAGCAGTGTGTACATCACACACAGAGGTTTCTGTTTTGTCTCGTACCAGTATAGAAGTATGACTTGCTGTTTCTAAAATGACAGGTTTTCTCTTTGTCTTGTCCTCTCTGCCTTTACATCAACTTACACAGGATGGAAATGATACTCAAGAAGTTGAGGAGCATACATTAAAAGAAGAGACACTGGAAAGAAAACCTGAAGCTTCAACTCTTGATGTCAGCTTGTCCAATGAAAGGTATGGAGTGTGTACTTGATCAGTAAGGGTTCAATGCTGCTTTCTCTTCAGTAAACACTGTCATACTTTTATCTTGTACCTTTGTGTTTTGTCTTAAAAGTTGTATTATGTATGAAATTTGTCCCTATAGGAAGGGTTGATATTTTTGTTGTTATAGTCTAATTTTTAAAAATCTTTTGCATACACTACAATTTTTATTAGATATTGATCTTGATTCTATTTAGGTATTATTTGAGTATTGGACTTTTCTTGATTAACTTTATTTTTCATAATGCTGTTTGAATACTAACAATAATTTCCTGTTGTGAGTTTTATATCTTGTTTTTTTTCATTAACTTAAAGGACATTCATTTAGTATTAGGTATTTCCTTGAGAAAATAGTACAATAAATATTTCACATATAGATTATTTTTGCACTTGCTGTATAACACATAAGTACTTTTAATTCATATTCAAGTTTTATAGAGGAGTAAATCACCCAATGGTATGAAAAACTGCTCTTTGAAATCACAGAGATTAATATAAAAATGTATTACACTGTATTCTACAAGACTAGATAGCCCATATTAAGTTAAAGACCTTTTTAAAAGTCACAGTGATTTAAATTTTGTTTTATTCAAATGGAAATAATTTATTTAAAATTAGAACTAGTATCCTCACAATTTCTGTGACTGCCAGTGTTCTGTGTCTTCCTCGCCTCTTTCCTCAGCTTGCATGGAGGTTAGACCATCACTATGAAACTCAAAAAGAAAGGCAGTGTATGAAAATTAGAATTACTATGGCAATGTAAAGTGTGTTATTTTGTTTATTTTATATTGCTTTTCACTATTTTATGTATTTTATACACCATGTAATATTTGGATTTAGTAATTTTTATGTAGCTTCATAAAATGAATATTAATTCTTATTTGTTTTAAACTATTATATTACTTTAATCTATTTTAAGTAAAAATAGTTCAATCATGGGATTTGACACTTGAATAAAACTTAAGAAAAAGTTCAGGAAGTAAGAACTTTTACTTCCTGTTATTTGGTCCTATTATTTTTAATACTTTATTTTGTAAGTAGATAACTTGATCTGGGCATAAATACAGAAGCCTGTCTTTCACTTGACACCTCCTAAAGAAAACAACTCCATTTATTACCTCGCCCTAAAATGTGCCTGGGCAACAGACAGCCATTAACCTGGTTGTTGGTGATCTGCAATGTGATGTGGGAAGATAAAACTTTCTTAAGCCAGAGCACCTTCACTTCAGAGTCTGTCATTTGTCCATGTGTGTTAAGTATAAAGTTTGCTAGTATTAGTACATGTGGAGAATTAAGCTGTTGAGATTAATCAGATAATCTTTTCCATCATCATTTATGGAAATACATTTTTTAAACAGTTTTAAAGGTTCATGTTACTCTAAAAAGAAACTTTATAAAAACACTTGGTCCAGGACAATCCTCATTTTTTGTTTTTTAAAAAATGTGTCTATTTATGAGTAAAATAGAGGGAAGGAGGGAATATCTGCAATACAGTTTTAATGATTGGGACATAAAGATGGCTCTGTGGTTAACAGTACTTTAATGCTGTTGCAAAGGACCTGGGTTCAGTTCGCAGATGCCACACTTGGAAGCTCACAGCAGCCTGTGACTCTAGTTCAAAGGTATCCAATGCCATCTTCTGGCTTCTGAGGGCTCCGTCATATGTGTAATGTAAACAACTCACACAGGCACATACATATGTACATAAATAAAAATGAATATAGAAGTCTTATTTTAATTCTAATGATTTTGTCTGAATGCTGAGACATTTCAGAGAAGAGTTAACCAGTAACATGTTTAAAAAAACAACTACAAAAACTTAAAAAGACTGTTCTTAATCTTTTTAAAAAGAAAGACATGATTTATTTCTGTTTAGTTGAAACTTTTCTTCCTCCAATTGTGTGAAATATCTAGTGTTGTGTGAAACTAGGTATAGTTTTGTCTCTAGAAACAAATATAATTGCTTTGGTGTTATCAGGCTGAAATGGCACTGTTGACCTTTAAAATCATGACTGTGTCTGTGCCTATTATGTCTGTTTAAATTTATGCATCCATTCGTCATCATCAAGTTGTAAAAACAGCCACATTTTTATAGTGGGCTTTTTAAAATTATACTTTAAAACATGCTGTTTGTCACATGAAAGGATGACATACAGAATGTCAGTCTGAGTAACCGTGAAAAGTATTACCAGCTGAATACCTTAATGGTTTTTAAATGTAGTCATTAATATAAAATCTTGGTTACTTGATTGGGGGGGTCAATAAAATGCGCACTTAAATAAAAACTTTTGTAATCTGTATAGAACTCCTAGAAGAATACAAATTCTTCTATAATATAATTTTAAAATAAGTTAAAAACTGGAAGAACTTCACTATGGTGCAATTACAGATTATTATATTTTCCAGTTAAAGCATTCTTTTTTTCCTTTTCTTATTCTATTTTGTTGTTGTTGTTTGTTTTTTCAAGACAGGGTTTATCTGTGCAGCCCTGGCTGTCCTGGAACTCGTTCTGTAGACCAGGCTGGCCTTGAACTCAGAGATCTGCCTGCCTCTGCCCTGAGTGCTGGAACTAAAGGCGTGCAACATCACTACCTGACTCTATAAAGCATTCTTGTGGCACAATAGCAGAATGTTTTGTTAAGTTTTTAATTAAGCATTTTATCAAATTATTCTTTTTCTGTACAGACATGCTCTCCTAAAAGCCAATAGTAGACTGCTAAAGATTCTGTTAGAAGTCGCCAAGACAACTGCAGCTGCTGAAGAAACAATTGGATGCCATGTTCTTGGCATTTTGGATAGATCTAGTAAAGTTAAGCCAGCTACCAGCCTGCTTTGGAGATCAGAAGCAGATGTATCTGCAAAGCCTTCTGTTCAAGAAGAAAGTGGAAGAGGTAATGGTTCCATATACTGTTGAAATAATCTGCATCTTCAACATAGGCTCAGTTCAAGGCACTCCCAATGTCTAGAAAAATACATAAGGAAACTAATGGACTGTCCCACATAGAGACCTTAAAGCTGCTCTTCTCAAACAACCTTACTATATAGCTCTTGCAAATGGGTGCCTCGGGGCTGTCACCATCCACATTTGGGGTTCCTCCTCTGTCTGTCTTCTTTTCTACCGATAAAGGATAATCATGCTCACTGCTCAGGGCTCTCACATCCACCTGTAAAATGAAGAGATTTATAGGAATCTAGCACTACTTAGAGGATTGAGACAAGTCTTTATAAAACATGACTTTATCTTGTTTTGGACTGTCCTCTGCTAGGTCCTCTCTGCCTTCTGGAAAGTGTGTCATGTTTGTATTTGGGGACTAAGTTTTGACTTTCTTTCACCATCTTCTTAGTTCTCTGGCTGTGTAGGCTGGGCTCTTCCTTAGGCTTCTTGCCGTCACCTTGCTGACCTCTAGTCTCTCTTATTTTTTCAGTCCCTTCTTCCCTGCTGAAGAAGAATCAGGGACTCAAAAGACAAGAAAGCTTGTCAGGTATAGAGAGATAGGGTCTGAAAACTTGGATTCACAGATCAAATCTAGTTACTCCCAGCACTCAACCTGAGCCCTCTCCCCAGCCAAAGGCAGCTCTTCCTAATGCTGCTTTTTAGGGAGCATTTGGCTTGCTAAGCTATCTGTGGAGAAATGGGAAGAAAACATTCCATTATAGATGGTTTGCTGAATTTCAGTTTGGTCATCAGTGTTATTTCTCAAAGAAAAACTTGATTTAAACTTTAAATAAAATTAACTTAAGAACACTTCAGTTGAGTTCAAAGATTTTTTTTAAATGCCTTTAGTACAGTAAGAATTGAAAATAATAATTTTTAAGCTTTCTTTTTAAGTTCATTCTTTTCATAGTTGGTAGATTTGAGATTAACGTTTTTTTCCTGAGTAATCTCCAGAGCAAAGGGTATTTTTTAATGTGTGTGGATCCTCATGTGTAAAGAAAAAGGTAACATTTAAACATGTAAAAGTCTTTAATGAAATTAAACTTATAAAAACAAAATAAAATGAATTGGTTTTACTTAGCCAGCTAGGGAAGAATTTTACTGTTCTACTAGGAAAGCTGAAACAGGGTTGATGCCTGCACTCAGAAACACCCTGAGGAGTGGATTGCAGATACTTGTGTGTCAGCAGTTGTCAGAGATACTAAAACAGTCAGCAAAGTCATTGGGCTCACCTGCCAAGCGGTTTGCTGGATGTAATAAAAGGGATAAATTGGCAATTTAACTTCAGCACAGAAGATTGTCTTGATGTTTATTTACTTGGAGGATGTAGACCTCAAAGGACATCTTATCCATGAGGGTTCTTAGAAGTTACATCTAATTTTTCCAGTGTAGGTGAAATATTCTTGTGTCCATTAAAAACAAAACAAAACAAAACAAAAAAAAAAACAAAAGAAAACCAACTAGTAGTTATTTCTCAATGATAAGTATCCCAGCTGAATCCTATAGACATGTCTTGAACTTCCATAACTATTATAGAGCATTTTATCCATCATTGCTGCTCTGTAATAATTCAGATTACTAATAGCAGGAAGCACTGGCATTCCCACCAGAGGCAAGATCAAAATATAACTGATATTTTGCTTAAAAACATTTTACATATATCTTAATCAAGTACGTCCTTAAAATGTTATTGAACTGGTAACCAGTTCTAAAAGAATAACACTGCAATATGAGAGGAAATGTATAGAATGTTATTTCAAGGATCATTTTGCTAACATTAGCATCACTGGTTATAAAGTGTGCTCTCCAGTTGACATTTTATGTTTTTATGTTTAGCAATTGCTGTTGACTTGCTAATAATTTGGTATGGCCATCAGTATCATTAAGGGACACTCACAGATCCAGTTTTCATTTTCATGTAAATATTGAATTAAAGTAACTTATGGTTTTAAAATGTTGAATTTTTCATAAACCCCAATAATGTACTGGCTTTAAAATATTATTAATGTGCTCTCTGTGTTAGAATTCATCCTTGCATTTCTTCATATTTTTTAATGGAAGCATTATAAAAGTTAAAACCCTTAAAGGTTTCTTTAATCTTTAATTTTGTCATAACAAAAATTAAGTTTTAATCTGACTATAAAGTGGCTTTTACTCTTCAGTTTTATGTATGGCTTTTTTTTTTTTTTTTTTCTTGTAACAAATACTTGTGGCATTTTTTCAATCTTCAAGTCTGAACTTGTTTAGATTTTTAACAGGTATGGACATGCTAACATAAATAATTGATTTGTTAATATTTGCTTGCTTTCGAAAAATAAGCTAGTTTATGAAGTTGAAAGGTAAGGTTAAACTAGTGTGACTTCATTTCAGTCTGAAGGAATAGCAGATCACCTGATAAAATGAGTTCCTACAACTGTGCTGTAAGTTTCCTTTAGCTCTGAGATATCTTAGAGGATAGATGTTCCTCTCTCTACTTCAAAGGCAGCAATGGAAGTTTGTTTTCCATGGCTTCTTTTTGGCTTAGTGCTGTGCTGTAGAATAGTAATAGCTTACTAATAATGAGAAGGCATTCGCTCTTTTACGATTCATCATGTTCTTGAGCAAAGCAATTTAATAACTATCACAGATCTGTCTCCTTCTTCCTTCCTTTTTTTTTTTTTTTTTTGAAATGCTTTTGCTTTGTGGATTAGCTAGCCTTGAACTCACTATGTGGCCCAGACAAGAACATCTAGGCAGGGTCACCCCTATGCCTGGACTACTACATAGAGGAGACATTTCCTAAAAATTAAAACCAAACCATGAAACAAAAACTCCTAAGTGTTTCATCTTTATCTTTGGGGTACTTTAGTACCTAGTTTTTAAATTACCCATTCCAGAAACACTGGTAGACCATGACTTTTACAATGTGCTTTGTTTTACATGTCCTCTGTGCTTTGTGCCTGAGATTTACTGCCATGTGTGTATAGTGTCTTCAGTCTTTTTCTATGATTGCTCCTCTGACCACAAGTCATGCACTCTTCATACTATTTTGGTATTTGTTTTGTTTTATTTATTTATTTATTTTTTTGCATGTTGGCAGAGTCAATTTCAGCACACTGAAAAGAAAATAGACTAATGCAGGCATTTACCCATCTTAGTAACATTGCCATTCTCAGAGAACCCTAACTAAACCATTAAATCCACACTAGCTTCTCCATGCTGGCCCATTTCTTCAGGTAAAAATTAAAGTTTATTCTTTTTAAATGCTTTCTTTCATCTCAGCTTTGCCTTTCCATTTGACTTTTTTTTCTTTTAATGAACTTCCTTTGTTAGCTTTTGATATGTATGATACTCCTTTTCCTTCTCATTGAATGCTGTCTCTATAACAAATGTGTCCATTTCAAGGTTTCAACTTTCACATTTATAAAAAAGACTTAAAAGTTGCAGACACAAATTTAAAGAATGCTATATGGCTGTACACATCCTGCAATTAGAGATTTTCGTGCCCACAGTTGAGTGTCTCCTGATCTGTTGGTATGTTTCTTAATGATAGCTGTCATTAAGAATTGTCCTAAGTTAAAAACCCAGGGTCATCTGTAACATGAAAAATAAAAGACTCAGAGACTGATATTAGGGCTCAGACATCAAGCTGAAGATCAGAAAAGCAAAGCAGCCAGACACTGGCTCTCACCTCTAGCTCAGGATGAAATGGCTGATCCACATATGAGCTCTTCACCAAGTCTCAAACTGCTGCTTCTCCTCTGTGGCTGGAGAATGAATGAATGCCTCTGTCTTCAGTGTGGCAGGAGAATGAATGAATCATATTGACCTGAAGTCCCTGCTTCTATCTTTTATACCCTTTTAGTACTGGGATTAAAGGTATGAACTATAATTCTCTTTTAGAGTGATTCGGTCTTGTGTAGATCTAGGTGGCTTGGGACTCACAGAGATCTATCCATCTCTTAATCCTGAGTCCTAGGATTAAAGGTGTGTGCCTGGCTTCTATGGCTTGTGACTTTGCTTTCTGAATCCTCAGTCAAGCTTTAATAAATCATAAATAATGTATCATTACAGTCATCTTATAGTTTTTTTCTTGCCTTGCCTTTTCATTCACTCATGTCCAACGTGTGTCCTGTCCCCTGTCCTATTTCACCACTTGTGTCCTTTTACACTGTCGTATTTCATCACTTCTCATTGTGTAGTTGAAACAGTCTTTTATTATCATTATCATTATCATTATTATTATTATTATTATTATTATTATTATTAATTCAAGTTAGGGAACAGGCTTGTTTCACATGTGATTCCCCTCTCCCTCTCCTTCCCCTCACCCCCATTCCTTCTCCCCCATCTCCAACCTACCCCCCACCCCATCCACCCACCACTCCCCAGGCAGGG